CCAACAGTATGTGTTCCCACTCTCAGCTCCTAGCGCCTCATGCTCCCAGCTCCTTACACGTGCACCACAAACTGAAGTGAGTTCCTTTTTTTAAAACCCAGGTGCCCTGATTAGCCTGCCTTAATTGATTCTAGCAGCTTCTTGATTGGCTGCAGGTGTTCTAATCAGCCTGTCTGTCTTAATTGTCTCCAGAAGGTTCCTGATTGTTCTGGAACCTTCCCTGTTACCTTACTCAGGGAAAAGGGACCTACTTAACCTAGGGCTAATATATCTGCCTTCTATTACCCTTCTGTTGCCATCTGGCCCGACCCTGTCACAATATATATATATATATATATATATATATATATATATATATATATATATATATATATATATGTAAAAATACATACATTAAATTATATGTAATGCAGTAGCCAAATATAACCAAAAATGATGAGCCTTCTAAATAACAAGTAGAAGCAAATAATATAGAAACAGAAGAGATGTTATACATGTATTCACAAGAATCCATCTTTACAAATGAAAGGCTCTGACATTTGCCTAGATCAAAAATCAAAATTTACAGCACTAGGAGATAAGGAATGAAATGTGTACAGATAACATCTAAACAGGTATTAAAAGGTTAGCAGTGCTTAAAATTGATTAGTCACCAGGACCACAAAACGCACATCCCAGACTTATAGGAAAATTGACCAGATATTGCAGAAGCTTAAGCTGTCATTTTTACAAATTCTCAGTTCAGGAGAGTGTTCTGCAAGCTGCCAAGTGGCCAGCATAATTCTATTACAAGACACAAGTTCTGGGGTACTACAGAGCAACTAAATTAACATCAGCTGAGGAAAGGAACAAAAAGCTTAAAACAGTTTGAGCAGATCAAATGGAGGAAAAGTGGAGGGGAAAGCTCTGCAGCTTAGTAACAGCCGGCATGGCCTTCAGGAAGGGAAAGCCATGCCTGAATATCTTTTGGGGAAACTCAAGGATTGTAGACAAAGTTGATGCACCAGGACACCACAAGTTGTACTGTAGTCAAAATTTCAGACTGTGCTAGCTTAGGTAACATTTCACATGCAAGATAATTCTCAACCTAAACTCAGTCTAAGGTATTTACCGCATTCCTTATTGGCACCAGGCAGGAAAATAAAAACAGCCAGAAATAGGTCTTTTTAGCGCCAGAAAGAAGTTAGTGCTGGGATTCCATAGGGGTCTCCTCTTTTTTTGTTTGTAGAAATACTGCTGATGAGGTTACTGAAAGCAAAGTGTAAATGCTGAAGAAGTTTAACGTATCACGAGGATTAACATAAATCATGAACACCAGACTCAGGAAGGGTGAAGAACCATTTAAGTACTTGGGCTAAAACAATGGATGGAAAATGTAATTCAGTGCAGATAAATGTGCCATACCAGTAGAGCTATAATTCTTTTCATGGCAAAGTATTGTGAAAATCGTGGTTTTGTCATGGTGAAAAATGTCAAAACTCAAAATCATGGAGAGGGGTGAGTGAAATGTCAAAGCACCTATTTACTTTGGGAAATACATAATACAGTAGAACTTCAGCGTTATGAACAGCTCGGGAATGGAGGCTGTTCGTAACTCTGAAATATTTGTAAATCTGAACAAAACGTTATAGTTGTTCTTTCAAAAGTTTACAACAGAACATAGACTTAATACAGCTTTGAAATTTTACTATGCACAAGAAAAATTTAAATGGTACAAGCACAGAAACAGTTTCCTTACCTCATCAAATCTTTTTTTAAACTTTCCCTTTATTTTTTTAGTAGTTTACATTTAACACAATACTGTGCTGTAGAATATTTGCTTTTTTTTTTTTTTTTTTGGTCTCTGCTGCCTGATTGCGTACTTCTGGTTCCAAATGAGGTGTGCGGTTGACTGGTCAGTTCGTAACTCTGCTGTTCATAATGCTGAGATTCTACTGTACCTAGTTTTATGCATAGGAAAGCAAAAGGCATGAGAGAAGGGGACTCTTCTACTCCTAGCTGGAAATAAGGAGATATTCCACTCTAGCAATTAATACTTATCACTTATGCCACACTTTACACTTTAAAAGTGCTGTACAAATATTAACTGATCCAAGCAGTGCTCCTAATATAGGTGGTAAAAAATAGTTCCAAAAATAAACTAGCAGCAATCAGGGTGATAAACTGAAACCCTTGAGATCCTCACACAAGGAAATAATATGAAGGGAGATATAAAGTCAAAGTTCAGTAAAGCACATCAAAACAGCACTGGGCTAGTTTGTTTCTAGAGGGCACTTATTTATAGGTCAAGCGAAGCAAAGCTCTATACTCAACTCGATGGCATTTCTATCTGCGACACAATAGCTTTCGAACAACAAATCTGATCAATTCAAATTTCTTTAGAGACTGTTCTAGGCATCAGCAGGCAGAACCCTATTGCTTTTGGTGAAAATCTGAAAACTGGAAAAGCCTTCATTGGAAAATCAGGCCCATAGGATGCTCATTTGGTACCACAGGTAGAGAAATCTCCACACCACCTACTGCCTATACATAACAGGCAGCAGCTTAATATGTTGCTCTCCCTCATTGGGTGTACAGTTCGGCCTACATAAGCAATGAAGTGTGTGACTCTCTAGTTTACTGCACAACTGAACACCAATGTCCCAAATGGATGAAGAATTTAAGACAACGTACAGCTGTATAGTTGGGAAAACAGTGTATCTAATGGTTATAGCAGGGGACTGGGAATCAACCCAAGATCTGCACCAGCTATATTTCCTGCTCTGGACTGACTGGTTGTGTGATCCTGGACTAATAACCTAACTTCTCTGTGTCTTAGTTTACCCATCTATAAGTTGAGTAATTCTGGGCCAGAGCCTCAGCTAGTGTAAATTGGCATAATTCCATTCACTGCCTAATTTCAGAAAGGATAGCCAAAAATTTAACTTCACAAATCCCCTAGGAGGCAAACATAGTTGCAGTAACTAGGGCCCCAAAATTATGAGTTATTACATTTTAAGATTTGCCCAGGCATCAAGGCCCTTTAGAAAAGATAGAATGAAGGCCTACGAGAAGAAAAACCTCAGGTCTAATAGTTGGATTTCTTCAAAGACATTTCTTTTCTAAAAGAGCAAGTGCAGCTAAAGAGACTTCCCTTTTTTCCCTGTCGGTGAATGAATTAAAAAATATCTATTAAATTAATATCAAACACTGATATCTTATGGTGTGCCAGATAGAGTTGTAAAATAGGGAACTTGATGGAATTTAATATTATAATTAAAATGTGTATAAAAGGGAGGTCAACTATAAGTGATACAGCTTTGGGCAAAATATTGTAAATTTCAATGACAGGGTTTACCTCATGGGCAATCCTGTTAGAAAAGAAAGGAGCTGCGTTCATATAGATTTCTTTTAGTTTAAGTGATAAAGCGAAGAAGTAAGGCTAATGTTTGCAACCAGACATGTTTGTGCTATCGAGTTACTGAAATACGCCTATGCTGAAAGAGTCAGTAAATAAAAGGAACTAAAACCAAAATGTGTATTTATAAGGACACCTGACCACACTGCAAAACAAAACAAAACAAACAAACAAGCAAGCAAGCAAACCTGCAGCAGCAAGTCTCAATTGACTCAGGGTTCATGGTATGGGGCTGCAAATAGCAATGTAAACATCTCTGCTTGACTGGAGCTCTGACTCTGAACCCTGAGGAGGTCAGGGTGGTGGGGCTGTCAAGTCTGGGCTCCAGCCTGAGTGGAAACATCCATACTGCTCTTTTTAGCCCTATAGCGCAAGCCCTGCAACCTGGAGACAGTTGACCCGGGCTCTGACACTTGCTGCCGCAGGGTTGTTTTTTTTCCTGTATAGACGTGCCCTTAGCCAAAATTAAAAAACAACAACAATACTTTCCCAACATAGTGATTGAGTATATGTGTTATTTTCTATTGTCTTTGTATAATTTGATTCTGAAAACCTACATGGTTATACTGACAAATTTTACTAGTTTATGTTAGCCAAATCATAATCCAATACTTCTTATATTCTGTGCTATTAATTCCTGTTGATAAGGATATTTAATGAAACTCTATAAAACTAAATTCATCTTTCGAGTCCGTTTCTCTAGTTAAGCAATCAAAATTAAAAGAACCATAAGCAAGGCGGTACGAATAATCAGTTAAGCAGTTGCTTACCTAAGGTTGGTTTTATACCCTATCTTTCTTACAGGGTGCTAAGCTGATTTACATCAGCTGTGGATCTGGCCCATTGTATGTACCTCACAAGAGTGTTGTGAAACTGAATTCATTTTGACGCGATCCTGCTCCTACCGAAATCAACTGATTTTAATGGGAGCAGGATTGAACCTTCAATGTTTGTAATGGGCAAAATAATATTTTTATTATTGCTAGAAAGATTAAGTGATCCACTACAGAGCTCTCACAAGCTGTAAATGAAATGAGAAAGTAAAAGAATAATAGCCCTTGAAAATTAATTATGGTGTTCAAAAAAGTTAGAAGAACAGGATTGCTTCTCTCTTTCAGTTAGCTGATGTTACCAGTGGATATGAATTGCATGTGATTCACATTTTTTCCGAATCTATTTATAGCTACACTTTCTTTTGTCAGCACAACCATCTTCCTCCAGTCAGGAGGTTGCAGCCACTGCCCAAAACCTCAAGGAAAGCTACTGGAATGGAAAATCAGCTCTCTCTCAAAGACTAAGTTCGTCTCTTGATCCCCTCCCTAACCTAGACCCAGCATAGAGCCTGGAGATGAATGGTTTAGAACTCTGATTTCCCCAAAGATTTTGGCTGTTCCACTTGGTTAAAACACGGTATGGATTACATACCCATTATACAAAGAGACTAACACATAGTATGCAATATTAATCACAGAAGCTGTGCACCTACAAAAATTGTTCTGAGACTATAAAAATACACCTGTCTTCAGAAATGATTCCAGATGTTTATAAAAAGATTGAAAAAAATCCATAGACACATGCAACAAATCTCTAACAGAAATCTTACCTGTCACAAGCTGTTGTCCAGCTAATCCTACTGGAACCATCCCGAGGTTATTCATAGCGGTGGCCCAAGCTGTTGGATCAGTGACTGACATATTAAGTTGTGTGGTATCTATAGTTGTACTTCCCAAACCATCAGCGGCTGTGGTAAAAGAAACAAATTCTGAGTTTAAAAGTCAATATGCCACAAATTGTAACAGAAAAAAGGGTGTTTGAGACATAAATAAATCTCACCAAAAATAATCAACTTTTTTATTATTATGATACATCTTTTTGGAGCACCCATAAAATTACTAGGTGCTGTATAGCAGTAAGAGAAGATACGATCCTGCTCAAAAGAGCTTATAATTTAAGACTACCTAATCAATGGCAAATGTTTCTATGGAAATACACAGCATGAAATTTCCACATATTCAAAGAAGGGACACATTTCTCATGACATGTACCGGGTAGTTTATTAAAGAAACATTAAAGACATTTTTTAGGCAACTGTATGTAAAAAGAGGTCACACCAATTTTACTTATCTTAGGAAAAAGATTATTAAGTTCCATTTGAAAACAAAAGTTACTTATCACTAATCGTTTTAGCAACAATATTTTTGGTGGCCACTGCATAGTGCAGATGCTTACCAGCAGCCATCGTTTAAACTGGTTCCTTTTGTCACTGACTGACTTCAAGTAGGAACGTATCCACTACTGTATTAATAACATCTTGCAATGGGAAAATATGTCTGTCACTGAATGCAGACTCCACACACAGTTCATTAGGCGCTGCAAGAAAACACAAGTAATCAGATATTAAATGCTGATTTTAAAGTCTAATTTCAAAATAGCATGCCCTGACTGAAATCTATATGAAGTTCCTATCTACTCACAGTTGGATCTCCAAATCCAGTTCAGTTGTACACCTTCATCAGGTGTTAGTGAAGGAGTTTCAACTAACCTGGATTCTTGCTTACTGAATAAATGGTGCCCATGTATGAACCTATCGGATGTCTTGCCTCTGGCTGAAAAGCCTTCACAAATTAGGTTTTATCAGTACCTGCACAGTCACCTCGGCATGCCGGCATCAATTGAAAGGACATACTTGGGCTGCATATGAATTTTTTTAAAAGTTAAAAATTAATTGATGTTGTGAGTTTCGAGGAAACAGTTGCCTGTTAAATATGTTTCCAAGCGAAGGAATAACTTTAAGAGTGGAACACTAACCAGGAAGGGCTTGCAATGTTAAGGAAGACATACTTTCTTTAACAAACACAATATCCTGAGCCCACAGAGTGACACCAGTGTGAAGGAATGGGGGCACATCCAGCCTCCATCTGAAATGTCTTTGCTTTTGTCAGGTTTCTGTTGCAACATGAAAGGTTGCAATAAAGGTAATTCTTTTGTCTGTGACTCTTATTTGTCTGCGTATTTCTGATAATTAAAAGGATTTGAAGAAAAGGAAAATAAAGCATGTAACCAAACTGAGAGGTGACAACTTTGATTATAACAGCACCTTCAAATTCTTACGGTAGAGAGAGCAATATTTATTTTGCTTGAGATAAGCACATATCTAAGCCTATTTTAGGCCTTTTATGCATTACTTATGTAACAGACTGCAGTGGGTTTTTTGGAGCCTTTACAGTCTGTCATGATTGCTTCACTGCTGTGTAAGAGCACTAAAGGCTTGATCCAAAGCTCATTGAAGTCAATGGAAAAATTCCCATTGATTTAATTGTGCTTGGCTGGTTCAAACCTTAAGTCCCTAGTCTTTCATCACAGAAGTCAGCTGAAGTTTTGGAATTCATTTCACTGGAAGCAAAAGGAGGCTTTAAGGATAAGATTTGCAAAAGAGAATCCAAAAATGCATATAGAGAATTTGAATGTGCAAATCTCACATTTGTTTGGGCTAAAGGCTAACTGCACAGACAAAATGTTTATGTAAACAACCAAACACACATAAGTGTAAATGTGGGTTTGAGAAAAAATTTTAGGTGCCTTTTTGGAAAATAGTTTGGAGCTCATTTTCTTTATGAAAATTACTTAAGAGACATTAAGCGTGTGGTTTCCAGTTTGTTAAGCTCAATATTTCATCTTTAGAAAAGACATAATAAAAGTGATTAGACTATATTTTAGATTAATTCTCCCCACACTTTTATCTTCTAATATTATGTGAATATAGTATAAACCAGAAAGGTTAACATGGTTGTACAAATGGCCTCCCTCCCATAAGTAATGCAGAGGCATGGAGCTATAATTACAATTCATGTCATATAAAGGTGATCACCTTAAAAGCCACACAGGTAAAAAAAAAAAAAATTACGTAATGTAATCAGTTAACTCTGCACATTTATAATATGTTGTAACTTACAAATGGGCACTTTTACTAAGTTAAAACATATTTTGTTCTGGGGCACGCTGGGTCTACTTAAAATCTCAATATTTATCATATTTCACTATTTGACCTTGCTATGTCATGTCTTTATTGTGCTATGATAACACTGACATTTTATGTACAATCACTACGTACCAAAAACACTGGCCAGAGGTCACAGGATTCTCTGAACAGAGGGTGGCTTTCATCAAGCAAGCTACATATTGAGATGTTGAAAAGTGGTTGCCTAAACTGCAGCTTCTTAAATCCATATTTAGCTCCTTCATCTGCCTCAGATGACAAATTTTTGGCCACTAACATCCATTTCAAAGTTAGAGCTGGTCGAATTATTTGCAGTCGATAAGTTATCTGACATTCAGTACATCCTCTTTCCTTTTTATGAATCATTCACAATTCAATCCTGACTTCTACATGTGTTACTCTTCACAAGTAAATGCTGAACATTTTAAGTAAACAAATTTCTGCCTATTGGCAGCTTGCAAACTATTTGTTTTGACAGTGTCTTTTACCATGTGTTATTGGGATGCACTGCTGGTCAGCTAAATCACTTGAGTATGGCTTCTGCTTCTTGACTGGACAAGAGAAATTTTAAACAGGAGAATGATGAGTGGCAGTAGAAGGATGAGTGGCAAATCACCACTCATGCTAAAATGCCTGAAACTTTGGGGGTTTATGAACATTTTCTTGAATAAACCACGAGTTGCAGAAAATGAATAATATCACTGCACAAATAACAGCAAAGGAAATGCATTGTGTTAATTCATGAAAATATTTGTGATTCACTTATTGAACAGTATCACTAGCTCTGGTTATGAATCTGGGGAACTCCTGGTTTTAAAGTGCCCATAGCTTCTCCCACGTAGCTCAGGGATGCTTTGCTTTCTCCCTGACCAGCTGGACATTAATGACATGCTCCCTGTCAGTACCCAGGCCAGGAAAACTAATGATCCAACCAGCAGACCAAATTCGGTGATGAATCCTGAGCACGTGCCACCTGAGGCACTTGCACATACGCTAAGAAGAAGAAAATAGCCGCAGGAAGGGTGAAAGACAAAAAGCCAAAGCCTGAAGCTGAACTGATCTCCTCTAACCAAGAATTGCTGCAGGCTATTTTGTCAGTGAAATAGAGCTGAATAACAAATCTGTGCACCTAAGCTCCTTGTTGAACATTCTGCAAAATGATGTACATTAAACTGGTGACAGATGCAAAAGAGAAGCACAGGACTGGACTCTGGAGTTAGAAACTACTAATTCTAAAAATCCTTAAAGAAACTCCACCCAAAAATTGATATATAATGGCAGCATTGACAAAACTGTAGCTATAGTATTGAGAACAGTGCTGGTACAATACAAGATATTGATCTGTTCTTCTTTCTCAATACAGATTCTTTATGGGAGAAAAATTCTTACATTGCATTAATATTATGCAAAATGATATTGCATAAAATAATCTTATAGAGATGCTCAATAGTCAGTTTAGACTCAACATTTAGGTTTTGTAAAAAAAATAGTTTTACAAATCATAATAGTAAAAGAAAAGTTTGATTTTTTTAATAAAAAGTTTTGTGTGGCTTTAAATATTTCCCTGCAGTTTTTGCCACGCAAACACTGCAGAATTGCTCTGCACCAGAGCTAGAAAGTCATACAAACCAGAAACAAAAGTGAAGCGGACTATTTTATTTTCACTGACCACACTGTATGCAATGCAACAAGCAAACAGATATAAAGGATGAAAACTGTATTCAATTTTCAAAAATTCTCCCCCTTTTAACAATTAAAGGTGTTACTCATAAGATAGGGAGGGAAATTTGTTTAAGACTGTTGGGGGACAGATCCTCACCTGATGTAAACCAGCATAGTTCCATTGAGTTCCTGGGGAGCGAGGCTGTTTTCCCTCAGCAGAGGAGCTGGCCCATGATTTTAAACCAATTGATGCTCTTTTAAATATTAGTAACATGAAGGCATTCAAAATAAATGTTCTGATTCTGCAAACACTCATGCGCACGAGTAACTTTACTCAGGTCAGTATCTCCACTGAGCTGAATCTAGCCCTAAAAATAATATAGAGGAGAAAACTGGAGAAAGCTTTCTGTATATTTTTTATTTTTATGGAGCTTCCAATTAACACAGTATTAATGCCCAATGCAGTAAACACAAACAGAACTCTAAAAAGACCACAGAATAGTTATGGGAATCTCTCTTTTCGTAGTCACAAAGCAAATATCCATGCTCCATCCTTACATGGTGGGCTGTGGGAGACTTTTAGACTTTCCTCAGACAGGCTGTCAGGAAGATAAAGTGCCGACAAGTCCATTCCAATGAGAGCTTCTCAGTCATAGCAGATTGTACTTAGTACTCATATTTTATACCAGGCAATTGAATGCAGTTACCCAAGTGAATACAGAACTTGGTTATATATTGTGCATCAATTATCACAGTCAATGAATGCCATGAGACAAAGAGATTAACACAACATAAAACTAATTCAATAACACAACAGATTGCTAAATTAAAACCCTACCCTTTAGATATCCATAACACCCCAGACAATTGAATTGCAATATGACAAAGCAAATTAAACTCCCTACTGTCAAAACTGCTAGCAGAATGCCCAGGTAAAATGGTCAACCAAATATGCCAGCAATTTCAGAGGCAATGAGGACTGGACCGGGTAGTCGAGAGAAGGATCTATTCCACCCTCTGCCGCTGACCTGCTGGTGACTTCGGGCAAGTCCCTTCACCTCTCTGTAACTTCTGTGATCACTACATGCCTCAAGGAGGGGACTGATGATATCAACTTTCCAAAAATGAGGATTACAAGTTTTCAGATAATAAACATCACTGATGCTGATTAACAGTTCTAAAGAGAGTGGCCACTGTAATCAGGTGGATTAAAAGGCAAGAGGGTGGACAGAATGATGTGACTCTTTTCAAGGTCTGATATCTTATGAGCCACCAGATCAAGCTGGATTTCCAACCTTTCCAAAGGTCTATAGCATTTGTTTCCATCCACTGTGATTCATAGGGGTGTATGGGGTGCATGGGAGAGGTAGTACCTTTGAGTGATCCAAATTGCTGGAGTCCTTGAGTGGTTCTTTTCCTCTCTGGTCCTCACTGTACACCCAGCTCTCACCTGTGGCTCCAAGTAGCTGTAAGTATGCGACAGCGGCCACACCCCAGTAAACCACCTTGGCAGGCGGGCTAAACTAGGTGAGGATAACCGGAAATGTGGAAACTGACGGTGATTTAGGGATTCCCCTCCCAAGCATACGAAGACTGTTATGGTAGTTAAGGTGAAAGAGACCATATGTTGGTCCAACGGCTTGAAAAGCAGTGCAGCAACGTATTATGGAAGGCGAAAGGCATGATGGGGCACTACATGGCTATCCACTGC